TATACATGGGTACCACAGTGCACGTGTATAGGATAACTTGCAGGAGTTGGTCCTCCTTCTGCCATGTGGGTCCTGGGGATCCAACTCAGGTCATCAGACTTGGTAGCAAGTACCTTTACCTGGCTGAGCATCTTGCCAGTCCAGGAAGGAACTTTTTCATTCTATCAAATTTGCATTTGATTCAGCATGGGCTCAGTGGTCCCACACTGGATAGTGCAGACCTACACAGATTAATGAAATGCCAGCCCTGTCACTTACCAATACCAGGCCACAGACCTGCCCTCTCCATGTCTCTGTTTCTATGGCCAGAAAGTAGAGAGGGGAGAGGTTGGTGTGTGGCTGCTAGGGGAGTGCTGAAACGAGTCCCGATGCTCCATAGGTACCTCCTTGTGAGCCTGTCTGTACCCCAAGCTAGGGATCCAGCCTGACCCTGTTTATCACTGCTGGCTTGTCCTCTTAGCCAGATCTTGCCTCCCCTTTTCACATGTTCTCCAGAAAGTGCTGCCCTCTAGGACCATCCACATGCTCTAACACCCCAAGATATCCTTCCATTCTGTGTCTTCTTCTCTAGCTGGATGCCCCAACCTCTCCAACAAGTTCCCACAGAATATACCACAGAGGCAGTCAGGTGCCTGCATGCTTGGGAGGCAAAACCAACCCTCCTTCCCAATCAGCAGAAGGAGTAGCCCCTAGTCCATGAGGAGCCCAAGGACTTCCAACATCCTACATCCACTCAAAGGTGGCCAGGCCCTGCCACAGTGTCTCTTACCGCAGTGCATTATGAGAGTCTGAGAACCCACTGGCCTCTGTATCCTTCACAATCGTCCAGTCAAAGACCAGTCCTGCCAGGGTACTGAAGGTATTTCCTATAAGAGAACATGGGAAGGCAGAAAGGCATGAGTTTGCTCCCCAGGGCCCAGGGACAGGGATGCCTCGGACTGCTGGTGACAGGCTTGGTATAGCCAGCTCGGGAGACCATTCATACTTCTTTGATTCCTCCTGGAAGGACACCCCTTCCTTACAAGCATGGGAGGGGACAAGACTGTGATACTCCTGAGGGCCCAGGCTTGGGATGACAAAGCAAGGCCCAGCTAGCCCAGGCTGAAGGCCTGGTCTGTCATCTGTGAGCCTTGTGACCCATCTTTTCATATTAAGAAACACCTCCCACAACTCCTACCTGAACTTCCAACATCCAGCCTCTCTTAAAGAGTCAAAAGATTTGTATGCCTGGGCAGAGTTCCCCTTGCTGAACAGAATAGCCCAGTATCTCCCAATGGGCCACATTCTGCTTTGTCATGCTTCCCACTGTACCCTGTTGTCCCATACTTTTTCCACATTCAACATCCATATTCCCCACCTGGTCAAGTCCTGAAACAGATGCATCTCAGGGCTACAAAGGGGTCTTTCTTCAGGGCTGATGTTACTTTGTGGTGACAAATACACAGGGGAAACACTTTAAAGGTTTCTGTTTATGCCTCCATGGGAGACATGGTAGGGAGTATGTAGCAAGGCAAAGCTGCTCAGCTCACAGGGACCAGGAAGCAAGAAAAAAAGAGGAAGGGAGGGAGGAACTGGGGACAAAACATGGTTTCCCCCAAGGACGCATTCCAACCACCTAGGTCCCATCTCCTAAGCTTCAATCACCTCTCAATAGCCATCAAACTATGATGTAATCAATCTGCTAAAAAGGTCGGAGCCCTCATGTTCTAGTCCCTTCCCAAGGCCACACCTTTTAACACTTCAGCATTTACATCCAAGCCTTCAGCAAATGAACTTATGAAGGACATTTCAGACCCAAACCATAAAAAAATAGGATCTTGCTGGGCGTGGTGGCACAGGCCTTTAATCCCAGCACTTGGGAGGCAGAGACAGGTGGATCTCTGTGAGCTCAAGGCCAGCCTGGTCTACAAAGTGAGTTCCAGGCCAGCTGGGGCTACAGGAAGACCCCGTCTCAAAAAGACAAAAATAAAACAAATGTATTAAAAAATAAGATCTTACCCTCTGCTTCCCTGGGCCTGCATGACCCACAGGCCTCTCTCTAACCCGCAGGCCTCTCTCCAGGTTAAGTCAATACCGCCCTCTGCACTTTGACTCCCCCAGCCTTATTCACCCTCCCATGTACCCCGCCTCTCTCTCCTCCTAGCCTGGGTCCTGTCCCATTCCTTGTCTTGGTGGCCCAGACACCTGGGGAACCACCACTGCTTCCTGATCCTTTCCATCCAGACCAACCCAGTTCCTCAGCACAGTCCCCAGGAGCCCTTGGGGCCTCTTCCTGCCACCATCTCCCTTTGCATCTCTGGGTGGCACAGCCACCAGCTGCCCAAGACCAGCATCTTTCCTGGGCCCTGTTCCCAGACCAGTCCAACCCCCAAATTCCTGAAGCCAAAATCTTTCCTGGGGGGATCCAGACCTTAGGAGAAAGCCTGAGAGCATCTGACCCTCATCTGACTTGGGCCTCTGTGGGAACTCCTGAAGACAAAAGCAATCCGGCCACTCCAATATAAAATCAAAAGAGAGAAATGGAAGATTAGACGAACCAGCTTTTCATGCCCCAAAAGTAAACTGCAGACACATAAAGTCTACAAAAAGAAGCAGACCTAAATTTGAAGGCTTGAGTCTCATACAAGAATCAGAAACTACAAAAGAAATTCACATGTCAAAATCACAGAAAAAAAATAATAACATGAAAAACAAAAATAACATATCCCCACCAAATACCAATAGTCCTCTAGAGGAGTACAATGAGAACCCCCTAGAGATAATGCAGGACATGGAACTCAAAAGAACAATTATAAACATGATAAAAGAATTCAGTGAATTTAAAGAACACATAAACAAAGAAATCAAAGAACTGAAGGAAAGTGAAACACTCAGTAAGCCAATTAGAAATGACAGGAGAAAGCATCACCAATAGGATGAATGAAATGGAAAACAGAGTATCAAGACTCGAAGATACAGTGGACAAACGAGACCACTCAAGCAGATTATGAAAAATTTAAGAAATCACAAGAATGGAATATGCAGGAATTGTGTGACACCATAAAAAGACCAAACTTACGAATCATAGGCATACAGGAAGGAGAAAAATGGCAAGATAATGGCATGGACCCCAGATCTTCAAAAGAATCATGGAAGAAAATTTCCCAAAATTAAAGAAAGACATGCACATACAAATACAAGAAGCATATAGAACACCAAACAGACAGGACCAGAAA